TAGTAACCATTTATACAAACAGTGCAAGAACTGGCGAACCGCTCTAGCATGATTAAATAGTTAAATATATTATGATTTAATATATACGTAATGATTGAATTATTGAATAAAAAAATTTTTATTCATTTTTCTTATTCATTACTCTCTCTCTCCTTTTTAAAATTTTAAAAAAAAGGTTTACATGAATAATAAAAAAATAATCTGGATCGCCTTTATAAACCTCATACATAATATAAAATACATAAATCTTGTTTTTAAATAGACCACCTCTGTCGATTTCTTACCAAGTAATTTATTGCAAAAAGGTAGAAGTCCTTCCTTTTCATTAGATTATAAAAAAAAAAAAATTACATCAACAGCCTTACAATCAAAGATTATTGAAAAATTTTTTTTTGGTAAAGTTTTATTTAATGTTAATCAAATCTGATAAAAATGGTCTATAATAATAATAAATAAATACTTCATAGGATTCAATATTTGAAAGTGGAATGTTTCCACCAATAGCATGAGGAAGGAATATTGACATTTAATAAATATTCTCATCCAAATAGATAGATTCGCAAAAATTATTAAATATGAATGTGTTGGTTGTTAATGTTGCCACTTGAAATCAAAGATTAACTATTTGACTTGTTTTTGTGCTATCAAAAAATTTACTATAATTTTAATTATTATTTTTTTTTGACATTTATATATTATATAAAGATCCAATGTTGAAATCTATCCAATACTACTAACATGTAACTACCCCCGTAATTCGTTTGGGTCAACTTGTCAGAGCGCAAAAAGTACTAATATTAATTGACGATCCGTCTATAAATCTAAAGATCAGCGGTCACAGTTTGGATAAAAAAACGGATAATATTTTTTATTTTGCGTTATGGAACAAATGTCAAAGAAGATATCTATACATTTTTTTTATTAAGAATATCGAAAAAAAGGGTTACTCTTGGAGATGTAAGGATGAATGAGATTTTTCATATATAAAAAAGTTTTTTTACGCTCGTGTAATTTATATAATTATTTTTAATTGGAGTTTCTATTCGAATAATAACAATAATTATTCAAATCACTCCAACCGTTCATAATTAATTTTAGTATTCAAATTAAATGATTGAACTTTTATTCAAATAAAACTATTTCGAAACTCTGAAACTGTTTTTAAACTCAAAAAACTGTTTTAATACTCAAACCTTTTAAAAAAAAGAAAATAACACCATAAGTGCTTCATGAAACCGAAAATAAAAAATCTATTTGGATTTTATCACGTAATAGGTATGTGGAGGATTTTTTGCATTCCAATAACACAACCTGGTATTGCACTGAAAGGTTTAATGGATGCTATGACTTTGCTGCAGATAAGCATTCAAAGCAAAAAGAAAAGATTTGGGCTAAACACGTAAATTTTATTTATTGATATTTCCAATTGGTGTAGCAGATGCTGGTGTTTATGATATTGCTACATTACAAGCTGCTGCTTTGGTAATTCTTTTTTTTTTTTAAAATTTTTTGTTAAAGTTATTTGATTATTTTATTTTTCCCTTCTTTTTTTTTTGAAGATACTAATACAACATTTGACGAGGTGACTGCAAAATTATGGACACTAATAATTACTACATTGTATTGTATAATTTAAATGACATAACACGCCAAGTACCAGTTGTTTGGTCAAAACATAGAGTAATTGGTTAGTACTTGTTATCATAATATTAACTCAAAATCGAGATTTTGCTGTTAGGGCTGTTTTTACGATTTTCCCAATTCATCAATGCTGCGCCAATTTTTCACGCGATCTTTGGATATATATCGAGAAAGTACCCAATTAGAAAAATGGTATACCACCACTTGTTTACATCACCACAAATTTTGTATGATGATACTAATAATATAGTTCTTTTCTGAGCAGAAAATAATTTTTCCTGAGCGGAATTTAGTTTGGACTTTTATAGTTGAAAAGATTGCTTTAAATTTTGCTCAAAACAATGCAAATGATCAACAATTTAATGCAAGCGAGTATTCAAGGTGAATACCGTACCTAGTAAAAAGTACAATACGCACTTTCTACATGTCTTTTTTTTTTTAATACGATATGCAATTTCTACATACTGCGTTTTGTTATTTCAAAATACGATGTAAATGAAATTGAAATCAATCTATGAAACTTGGTAACAAAAGTGATACTTTGGAATCTAAGAGTAGACCTCTGATGCAACAGCATAGACTATTAGTCAAAAACCACTAAAGAAACAGCTAAAATAATTTTTTTCCAGATAAAAAAAAAATAAATTAATATAACAAAAATTAATGTAAATTTATGCAACACTATTTATTAATCAAATTTGTACTCGAATGATGAACTTGAAGAAAATACATTTAATTTTTTTTAGAAAATCTCAAAGTAGACTTGTAACAAAGAAGATACATGGTATTAGATTGCAATATGTTGCATAGTATCTTTGTCTTGTAAGAAATGGCTATTCAAAGCTTTCTGCAAATCTGAATCAATTAATTAACTGTGGTCCTTGAATAGCCAGGTCAAGCCAGCATGTGTCAGATGGGCACTCAATGTCATCAGGTTTATCATGAATTGTCAAATAAATCTTTTTAAGAGTTTTCCCATTAATTTTAATGGATTTGAAAAGCTTAAAACAAATGTGTGATTATAAAAATTTAAAGTTAATATTTGAAAATAATAGAATATAAATTTGTTCTTGTGCTATCATCCAAATATCAGAATAATTATATAATGTTGAGATTTCCAAACTTTGAAAATTCTTATAATAAATTATTGATTTTGAATGAGTAGAAATCACTTGCATAAAATCAACTGATGAAATTAAACTTCCATCATATACATAAAAGATGATGCTGTGCTTTTATTAGTTGAGTAAGACTGTGAACTGCTTACTTTACGACTATCTGAAGATTCTCTTATTAAAGCTCGAATATTTCTATCGGGACTGAGTGCATAACCCCAATAAGTCACTTGACTAAATTATTAGTCATATTAATGCGTTAAATTAGGGATTTACCCTTTTATGCAGTAATTTGTTAATTTATTACAGCTTTGCTGAATCATTGATACATAAAGGTTTTAAAAATGTTATGTGGGAATTGAAATTATATCTACAATTAAATGTTATTTTTCATGTTATCGTGTAACAGCCATTTTATAAAAAAAAAATTTGTTGATTTTTTTATTCTGTCAAAAAGAAATCAAAATGAACGCAGGTAATTAAATCATTGATAATTTGTAACCATTCTACTCTACTATTATCATCCTCATTATTATCATTATTACTATTAAAATCACATTACTTATTATAATTATCATTTATATATACTCTTTAGCGGTTTCAAATAATCATAGCATTGAGAAGAATGTTGTTAAAGAGGAACAGTTTGATATTGTAATGTGTTATCAAAAGTTTTTAAAAGATGATCCGGTTAGAATTTATTTTTAATTTTTAATAATAATAATTGTTGTCCCTTGACTTGCTCACTCATTCACACTTTGAAAATTGATTTGATTGGATAATTGTATGGGATCAGGATGTTTCTATGCCAATTGCCGCTATAGAAGCATTAGTAGAGTTAATTAAGCATAGCAAAGGTACTAAACGCATTGCTACGGTAACAATAAACCATAATAATGATAATAATAATGTTGTTATTATTATATATAGCAACAACGTTATCAGAGTTTATGGAGTCGTTAAAAGATGCAAGTCAATTACTGAAATCAACAGTTAAGAATTCGATTTCTTTGTCAGCAGGAGCAGATTTATTTCTAAGATTTGTTACAAGGACGTCACATGATGTTACTGTTAAGTATATCCAATTATGTGGATGTGTGAAAATAATATATAATGGTGAATGTATATTTATGTGAAATATGTTTTATAATATATATCACTCACATGTTATTGTTAATCTAATTAGAATTTTGAAGCGTGTAAAGAGCATTTGATGAATAGTGGCAAGGTGTTGGTAGAGAAGGCTACAGCAGCTCGCCATAAAATTGCTGGATTGGGAGTACAATTTATTAAAGATGATGCGGTATTATTATATTATTGTTACTATTATTGTTATATATTTTTATATGCAATTATCCATATACGCGCATACAAATGTATCTATATCCCTAATTATCATCATCATCATCATCATCGATAGACAATATTAATTCATGGATATTCTCGGGTGGTGATGTTAGTTTTACAAAGAGCTGCTGCTACACACAAAAAAAGATTTAAAGTTTATGTGACTGAATCTAGGCCTTATTCTTCAGGGTAAAAAAACGAATTAATAATTTTTTATCTCGGAGAAATTTTTAAATTGCCATAAATAAATAATTGATTGATTGATTGATTGATTAGAATCAAGACAACTAAGATATTGAGAAAGTATGGTATTCCAGCAATAGTAATACTCGACACAGCTGCTGGGTATATTATTGATAAAGTGGATGCTGTTTTTGTTGGTGCTGAGGGAGTTGTAGAAAATGGCGGATTAATTAATGCGGTAAATAACATTTTATAATTATATTATAGGTGTCAATATACTTTATGTTAAATATCAATGTACATTATGATATTATGTGGTGTAGATTGGCACTTATCAATTAGCAATAGTAGCCAAAGCTGCTAATAAGCCATTTTATGCAGTAATTGAAAGGTAACAATTTAAATTTATTATTTATGGTATTTTTATTAACTTCGCCTCCTTTTCCCTTTCTCCTTTTCCCCAACCTACTCTTACTTCTCTTCATTTCCCTCCCTCTTTCTAGCTATAAATTTGTTCGAATATTTCCACTTAACCAATACGATCTACCAACTCACACACCAGATTTACTAACATTTCCAGATTTGGAAAACAAAATCCATGTAAAAAAAATAGGAGAAAGTAATGATGATGATGAGACAAAAATTGGCGAAGAAGAAGAAAAAGAAGTTGAAAATTTCGTAGTTATTAATCCAACAGTAGATTATACACCACCTGAATATATCACTTTGTTGTGTACAGATCTTGGTGTTTTGACACCTTCTGGTGTCAGTGATGAATTAATTAAATTGTATTTATAACAAATAGTAATAATAATATTGGTTATCGGTTTGTGGCATGTTTTGAACAAAAAGAAAAGAGATTTATATTATATTTATAGTATTTATATATTAGAAAGGTAGTGATGGTTTGCTCTTTCTTTTTCTAATTGTTTTTCCTAGTAATAACAATGATGATAATTTTTACATGTAAATATACATCTCATATATATAAATGCAAATTTATAAATTTGTACAATTTACCTTTCTCCAGGTCTCAATTACTTTTCTAACGATTTCTGAATTTTCTGGCGCATATAATGTTAATAATAAATAATCCACCCTACCCATCAAATCTTTCCCAAAAAATCTTCTCCAAAACGATACCTTTTAGGAGCATCTCGTTCATATTTAGGATGTTTAGGTTTTTTAAGTCTAGGTGGTCGTTTCTCGGGTTTAATAGGCTGGTAGGATCCTTTTGTAGATAGTCTAAATTCTTTCGCATTACATTCAATGTAAATATACATCTCATATATATAAATGCAAATTTATAAATTTGTACAATTTACCTTTCTCCAGGTCTCAATTACTTTTCTAACGATTTCTGAATTTTCTGGCGCATATAATGTTAATAATAAATAATCCACCCTACCCATCAAATCTTTCCCAAAAAATCTTCTCCAAAACGATACCTTTTAGGAGCATCTCGTTCATATTTAGGATGTTTAGGTTTTTTAAGTCTAGGTGGTCGTTTCTCGGGTTTAATAGGCTGGTAGGATCCTTTTGTAGATAGTCTAAATTCTTTCGCATTACATTCAACATTCGTAAACTAACTTTTGGTTTCTTGTAAATTGGTTTGCCATACATGTTATAACCTTTAAAAGTTGGTCGGAAATCACTTGGTTGGTATCTTTTTTTCAATTGAGCAAGTGCTCTATCTGATATTCTTTTTATTGCAGACATTATTTTAAATTTGAAAAAAGATTTTGCATTGATAAATGAGCAATCTACATAAATTTTAGCCAAATTGGGATCAATATTTATTCACCACATCAATTCGTCTAAACAAGAGAGAAAGAAAGGGTCTGATCATTTTTTTCAATTTTGTGAATAGAATTGGTGGCAATTAAAATAAATCTACTTCCTTTATTAAATAAATAATTCAGTAATTTTTTTAGCATCGGGGGTTTGATTTTTAAAACAGATAATAGGAAATTCTCCTGCTTTGATAAGTTTTTTTATCATTATAAATCTTTGAAACCAATCAGATTCTTTGATACTTTGTTTTGCTCTTTTGAAATATCTGCAACGTAACATCACGCCCGCACTGAATTTCAAAACCATGATTATTATTATACCGATTTGATTTTGAGACATAGGAGGCTGGAGAACAGTTGAATCTTTGTCAACTTTATCGATTCCTTTGAACACTATTTTAATCAATAAATGATAATATCTTGAATAATTTTTAAAAAAAAACCGGAAAATTACTGTTGTCAAAAAACTTTTTATAATATTACTAAATATTCATCAACTTTACTCAAATAAATTTTCAAACAAAGCTTTTCTTTTTTAAATCATTTTCTAACTGAATCTGGCAATTAGCTGTTGAGTAATTTGCTTTTAAAATTCACAATATGGTTGGATTTTACTTGCTTTTTTGCAATTATGTTATTAGAATAAATGAGATACATTTATCTAATAAATATACCAGATTGCTAACACTCAATTATCAAATAACTATTTCATATTAAAAAGTTGTATGAAGCTGGCGATGTGACTTATAGGAGAGAGTTAACCGCTCGAAGAAGCGGAATCACCTTTTGAATCACGTGACATATCGCAATTTAATTAAAATTTTGGTAATCAATTATAAATAATGTGATAGAAGTTAAAATTTAAAAGATGTGAGACGATTCATCATTGAAAAGTGGAATACAACTCCTGATTTATTCTAATTAATTTACTTTGATAAAAAAATCAAGATGTCAGTCTGTAATTAAAAATCAACAGTGAAAGTATTTCGTATTAAAATATATTTAATAAAAATTCTGCCCTTAACCTATCGAATGGAAATATTTTCTATATGAATTAATGCAGTAGTTGTTCCATGATGATTAATTTGATTTTCTGCAACACACTGTATGTTGAACATTTGATATTGGATATATGCGTGCTTTCCACGGCTACCATATTTTTTTTTTGGAAAAAGAAAAAATTTAATTAATGCAATATTATAAAAAATCATTATCAGTTATTATATAAATTTAATTATAATAAATAAATATATTCATACTCCATTTAATATGTTTTAAATAATTTAAATAATTTGATGATTTTCAAATAATAGTTGTTCCAAAAACCTTATGTCTGCTCATTAACCGCAAAAAGAACAAGATTAAAATTGTTAAAATTTTACTAAATATGGGAATGATGTTTGATCCATAACCAACTAACTAAAGGTTTTCACAGTTAATTAACCGGCTAAAGAATTTCTATACGGTGCCAACCTCTAGGAAAAATGGTTGGAAACTATTATATTGATAATAAAGAATTCATATCCAACTACATTGGATGTTTACCATCCTAAATCATTTGAATATTTTCATATCATTTTTAATATTTGAAAGTTTTAAAAAGATATGTTGATAAAAAATTTTGTAAAAATCATAATTATTAATAAATTCCTATGATAATTTTTATAAATTTTGTTTTTAAGTCAATGAAATCAAATTCATAATGTGATAAAGCAAGATTAACATGGATTTATTTATACTTTGACAGTTAGGCCTCTCAATTTAAAATTGGAGGAGGGTGATAAGGAAGGGCTCAATTCTAATATTGTAACCAAATAAATTTATTCATATTAACATGCTAAAATTGGATACATATTGAATAAAGCAAAGAAAAATTAAAATTTGTTTATCCCCACTCCACCATCTATAAAAAAGATTTGATGTGCATAAACCCTCCAATTAAACCAAAAAATCGTCTTTATTATCATTAACAATCCAATTAAAAACTGCAAAAGAGATAACAACTGACATTGTGAAAATCATTATTGGAGGCCAGTAAAGTAATCCAAAGACAAGAAAATGGCATCCTGCAAAAAACGCTACGCTTCCAAGAATAATTAACATAATGCCCACCACAAAAGTTAGAAAAAACAAGATAATTGTTAAAAGCATGACATTTAATATTGCCTCTTCCACTGTAAAATTTCTAACCCAATCAAAAAAAAGTGGAAGTTCTTTGCTAATCTGATTTGCTGGATATGAAATGAATTCTTCAAATGTTTTGGTTGCTTGGTCAATAGTTTCTTTGTCGGTTATTTGAGCTCTTTCACCGATTTTAGATGTTGCTAAATCACTGGTTTTTGCTCCTTCAAACTCTTCAATCATTTTTTTCACCAAACGAGAATATTCTACATATCCATCATTGTATTCGTTTTTTTGATATTGATTTTCATTTTCATCACTTTCTCCAACACATTTTAATTCGTAATTATCTGCCATTTCTAATTAAAATTTTTTTGTTTGTAGATAAAATAATTTACTTTATATATATATATATAATTATATAATCATAAAAATGATATCATCATCATTCCAATTTAATTAATCAATCTTTAAAATATATTAACTATTATAAAATTTCAAGATCTTTTAAGTTCTTTTCAATATAAAAAAATATCATATAATGACATACTTTATGTATCCAATTTATTTTAGTGAATGAACAAAAGGAAAAAGAATAATTATTCAAATTTATCCCATTTAAGTACATAAAGTATGTATTTATTATTATAAATATATATTGAATTAAAAAAAACAAATAATTTTTAAATAGAAAAAGATACACTTGTAAAGGATTTTTTTAAAAAAAAAAAAAGGCAAGGTAAATATTGGATTTTTGATTTTTACCATTCAGAAAAAACCATCACCAGAGATTGAAGACAAAGAATATGAGGTATAAAATGGTTGTTAGAAAATGTTTCCTTTTCGGTCCTATTTACAGCATATTCAACCCAACAAATGGACATCTATTATGTTGAAACAAAACTTGTAAAGGAAAAAAATCAAGATCATGAACTTTTTGATGGCTCAAGAAGTTGCAATATTTATATTTTATGCGAGCCATTCGGACCCATTATCAAAAATGGATACAAAGGACTGCTTTGAGATGATAGCTTGAAACACTGCTGTTCAAATTAATCTCCCTAAAGATATCTTCATTGATTGCTCAGCAGGTCAGGGTTGACAATAGACCCAGTCCCGGTCACGTTTACTTAGTCGAAAATCATTTCGTCGACACCCATTTCGTCGAAAGTTTGTTTCATCGAAAGTTCATTTCGTCGAAAATTATTTCATCCTCGAGCCAGAGACCGAACGAGTTAGATGTGAGGAGTGTGGGAAGCTAGTTAAGAAATTAGGTGAGGAAAGCGGAGTGTGTGGGAAGTGTGAGAAGAAATTTGTTTTTTTTTTGTGACGAAATGAACATTCGACGAAATGAACTTTCGATGAAACAAACTTTCGACGAAACAAACTTTCGACAAAATGGGTGTCGACGAAATGACTGTCGACGAAATGATTGTCGATGAAATGAATCAGACCCGTTTCTTGGCGGGACACCTCAAGTACCATATTTCTTTATTTCTTTTCATGTTATATAGATATTGCATGCAGCTTGGAGGAAACAAAAGACACTCACAACAACCAAAAATTATCTGCAATAATTAACATGTGCAGTTGAGGGATAAAACAGAGGATATCTACCAGAAATCATCTGCAATAGAATAGTATTTAGTAGCTAATACTAAGAATAACAAGAAAGCAGTTAGTTGTAAATATACATCTCATATATATAAATGCAAATTTATAAATTTGTACAATTTACCTTTCTCCAGGTCTCAATTACTTTTCTAACGATTTCTGAATTTTCTGGCGCATATAATGTTAATAATAAATAATCCACCCTACCCATCAAATCTTTCCCAAAAAATCTTCTCCAAAACGATACCTTTTAGGAGCATCTCGTTCATATTTAGGATGTTTAGGTTTTTTAAGTCTAGGTGGTCGTTTCTCGGGTTTAATAGGCTGGTAGGATCCTTTTGTAGATAGTCTAAATTCTTTCGCATTACATTCAACATTCGTAAACTAATTCTTGGTTTCTTGTAAATTGGTTTGCCGTACATGTTATAACCTTCAAGAGTTGGCCGGAAATCATTTGGTTCGTAACTTTTTTCCAAATGAGCAAGCTCTCTACCCGATACGTAGTGTAAAGAAAGGGTCTGATCATTTTTTTCAGTTTTGCGAGTAGAATTAGTGGCAATTAAAATAAATCTACTTCCTTATTAAATAAATAATTTCAGTGTTTTTTGAGCATCAAAACTGGTAATAAAGCTTCTTCTGGGGCTTGGTTTTTAAAGCAGATAATAGGAAATTCTCCTGCTTCAATAAGTTTTTTATTATTAAGATCATTACACAGTGAGCTCGGTATAGCTGATAATTTGGGCAATTAGAACAAAAATTTCAAAAATCCGTTATACCGAGATTAATAGTCGTGTGACATTTCCCTGAGGCTGCTTTTCTATATGTGAAATAAATTTGAAATTCGTGTCACATGAAGTTTTTTTAAAATATCTCGTGATTTTTATAATAAACTCGAACTTCGTTGTTAGAGTAAAATGAAAGTACTCCATTAAAGCTTTCTAATGAATACTCTTTCATATCGAAAGGTC